AAAATATCCTCCTGCGCTCAATAGGATGAATAGAACTGTTATTTAGCTGCTGCCACTCAACTTAAACCAACAAGTGTAAAAAAACAATAACCAAAGAAAACAGACAATATCACTAATTTTTAAAATCTTGGTAACATAACTTCACTAGAAACAGTATTGACATATTAATCCAGAAAGGAAAAAATAGAAATATTACATAGAAAATCTGGGCGTAGCATTTACCAAATACTTGATACCTCTGAAGTTTGCAGAAAATAAACTGAGGAATTGACTAGGTGCAATAGCATCAGTATAAACATCTGACCAGAAACTCTGAAAACTAAAGACCAAGAGGAAGGTAGATTTTATGAGCCTCTGACTGTCTTATGAGGCTGCATGACCCCTGATCCTCTGTCTGGACAAAGCTGATTGGCCCTGTGCTGATCACATGCACCCTCCCAAAAAAAAACAGCGATCTAGCAATACACACCAAACTGAGCATGTGCAGACTTGCCACTGCTGCTCTAATTATGGCAGATGGATTGGGGACAGTAGGAAAAGGGGAGGATCAGAAAAACCAGGATCAAACAGCCTTGTTACACAATGCGGAGGATTAACCCCTTAGGTCCCACAGTGAGTATAACAAGCACTCTTTACTGCATCTACAGACTGATTGTACTGTTGTGGGTTTAGTAACACTTGAATTTTTTTTTAAATTGGTTCTTAGGGTCTCTTTGGGCATTCCACCAATATTGGTGATCTTCAAGGGTGCTTGTAGTCTGCAGACCCATGAACTCTTGGATTGCTAGTAATCAATAGCAATCAGATTCCTGCAAATGTTAAGTTAAAATGACATGGTAAAAGATTGAAGTGTAAAGCGGTTCAGATTCACAGGACCTTTAGGTAGGCTTTCTGTGCTGTGATTAGAAACGTACTTGTATTGTGTGAAGAACTCGGCATTGTGCTCCACGGTGACCCTTGACTTCCAGAGGCAGGAAGCAGACTGGTTTCCTATGATTCCCCATTCTCAACCGACTGTCATGCCTGCAGACGTGATTATTCATCTCCATAATGAAATCCTTCAGTGGTTCCTCATTGAAAGAAACTCGGGAGTAAAAATAGTGGCCATGGCTATTTATAAAGAATCTTTCATTCTTAATGACTGAGTGGGAGACTCGTGTCTTTGAAGCCAGTGGTTAAAAAGAAAACACTCAGATCTAAAACTTCTTAAACGTTGAGAGCGCTTGAAAATATGACTGTGATATATCCACTTAAAGAGCACCTGTCAGTAGCAGATTAAATGAGATGACCTGTGAAAGTGCCTGAGGGGTAAACCATTTCCACAGTGGCCAAAGCTTAAAGCAGTATTAACCACTTGCCTACCGGGCACTTTCACCCCCTTCGTGCCCAGGCCGATTTTCAGCTTTCAGCGCTGTCGCACTTTGACAGTTGCGCAGTCATGCAACATTGTACCCATATGAAATTTTTATCGTTTTTTTGATGGTATTTAATCGCCATTGGGCATTTTATTTTTTGCACTAGAAACAAAAAAAAGTGAAAAACATTTGAAGAAAAAAGTTTTTCTTTGTTTCTATTATAAAATTTTGCAAACAGGTAATTTTTCTCCTTCACTGATGTGCATTGATGAGGCTGCACTGATGAGGTGGCAGGTGGCACGGATATACAGCAACACTCATGAGGTGGCACGGATAGGCAGCACTGATGGGCACTGAGGCTGTACTGATGAGGTGGCACTGATAAGGCAGCACTGGTGGGCATTGATGAGGAGGCACTGATATGCAGCAATGTTGGTCACTGATAGGTGGCACTGATGGGTACTGAGGCTGTACTGATAAAGTGGCACTGGTGGGCATTGATGAGGAGGCACTGATCATCCTTGATGTGTTTGAGCCACGTTTTCTTCAGTGCTGCTTGTTGAACCCTCCAGTGGACAGGTCACTCCCCAGAGGAGTTCACATGGCAGTGGCCTGGTGTTCATTCTGCAAACATGGGCAAACCATAGCGGCCTACATTTTTTTTTTTTTTTTTGTTTCTTTGACAGAAGGTTGATGGTTGCAACTTGTGGCCCACTCAGTTTGGAAATTGGCACGCCAGGTGTAGATAATTTGTAGCTGGAATACATTGGAGATGCTTTACCCATTATTTTATATATATATCAGCTGTTGCAAATACTGTAGCTGTTGACTTAAAAATCAGGAACTTACCAGTCCCTGGAGTCCAGCGTTGTCTTCTCGCAGCTGGGTCCTTGGCTCCGCCATCTTGGATTTGGGAGCAGGTTATGTCTTCTTGAGGCTCCTTACTGTGCATGCCTGAGATCGCGCGGTGCAGAGACCGGTAATGTGTGTCCGAGAAGGCTGCGGGGCAGGACAAATGGCATCATATTCGACTGTGAGAAGTGGCACTTCCGCTTTTAATTGATGTAAAGAGACCCTGTCATATTGCTCATGTCTCTTGCAACCCCCCCACCCCCAACTTCATTATGATGCCACCCCATTCTTTTGAAGATGGGAGTTAAACCTGCGTTCATCATTTGGAGACTGACCACCCAGTCCCTGAGTACTGCAGTCCACACACTTCCCATAAAGGAAGTAGTGGGGGGGGGGGCTTGTGGTGCAAAAAGTTAGTGGGTTGGAGGCCTAAATGAACAAAGGGGACAGAGTCTGTTTAAGAATGCTTATGCCAACAATCTCCAGTTTACACATGCGGAGAAGGGGCAGGGATAACAAGCAATTGTTCCGCGTTTTTTTACCACCCCCGACCGGCTACGTACAAATTAACAGGATGGCCTCTCTGGTCTGTACACAGTCGCAGCTGCGATGCTCTGTAATACAGAACATTTACAACTTGACCTGACACATTTGGCCATGTGGTACTGCTTGCCAAATGTGCCCTTTGTAGTCAATGGCACCACTCCGTAACTACATGCAAATGCTTGTTTGTGGCATGATACTGCAATGTAAAATCCCCCTTGCGATTGATTTTAAAAAAAAGGCAGTATTGCTTCCTGTACACCTGCAAACCAGCGCTCAGGCGGCTCTGAAAAGCGATTTCCCCCCCCCCCCCCCCCCCCCCCCCCCACAGATTGCTTTTCAGAATGGCATTAAAATCCTTCAATATCTCAAACCATTGGACTATGATGATGCCTTTGTTCAAATGGGCAGCACAGTGGCTAAGTGGTTAGCACTTCCGCCTGGCAGTACTAGGGTTGTTGGTTCGAATCCCAACCACGGCACCACCTGCCTGGAGTTTGCATGTTCTCCCTGTGCCTGTTTAGTCTGGGTATTTCGGTTTCCTCGAACTCTCCATGACATGCTGGTAGGTGAATTGGCTCCTGTCTAAATTGTCCCTAGTATGTGTATGTATGAATGTGAGTTAGGGACCCTTAGATTGTACGCCCCTTGAGGGTTAGGGACTGATGTGAATGTAACTTATACTGTATATGTAAAGCGCTGTGTAAATTGACAACGCTGGGCACAGTGGCTAAATAGTTAGCACTTTTGCCTGGCAGTACTAGGGTTGTTGGTTTGAATCCCAACCACGGCACTATTTTCTTTTGCAGTATGTCATAGCTATGTAAATGTATAATAGTGCGGTAGGAAATTAGAGTGTAAGCTCCTCTGGTACAGAGACTGATGTGTCGCTGTACAGCACTGCGGAATAAGTCTGAGATATAAGTGTATAATAATAGTGGTGGGGACATTGGAGTGTAAGCTCCTTGGGTGCAGTACAGAGACTGTAGTTAAATATGACACCTGGCAGTACGAGGGTTGTTGGTTTGAATCCCAACCACGGCACCACCTGCCTGGAGTTTGCATGTTCTCCCTGTGCCTGCGTGATTTCCTCCGGGTACTCCGGTTTCCTCCCACACTCCAAAGACATGCTGGTAGGTGAATTGGCTCCTGTCTAAATTGGCCCTAGTATGTGTATGTATGAATGTGAGTTAGGGACCTTAGATTGTACGCCCCTTGAGGGTTAGGGACTGATGTGAATGTACAATATATATGTAAAGTGCTGAGTAAACTGACAGCGCTATATAAGTACCTGAAATAAATAAAATAAATACTCAAAACTAAAGCATTTGGCTTGACATACTGTACACTTTAGGAATGTTCTTTAACACTCGAGATCAGCAAAAGTACCTGTTTATAAATTTAAATAAATCCTCTGCCTGTGTCAAAGGTGCCTTTTTATGATTTTCAAAATAAATAGAAAAAAAAAAACCCTCATCCAATTTGAAGCTACCTAGTCAGTGTTTGGTGTCTAAACTCAGAATGTTAAAATGTGTCATTTCATTGAGAAGACGGTGTGATTTGTGTGAATGACATTCTGTAAATCAGAGGAAAGGAAGACGATTGACTGAAAATGACCAGGAATAACAGGTTTGACCAGCATTTGTTTCTCATGGTAGTGATTTGTCTGCATTCTTTCTCAAACCCAGGTATAGGGGCCCGCTTTGTGTAAAAACAGGATCTGCAGTCTTGTTTGCTGGAAGTAGAGAGAGCCGCTTATGTCACCAAATAACATCAATCGAGTGACAGAAACTGTTCCTCAGGATGTCTGCGTCTCGGGGAATTTCAGTCATCTATTCCAGAAATTGCAGTCGTTATCTATGACTTGACACCCGTTCTACAGACCAGCCCTTTAAGGGTTGTGGCTTTTTGTCAATTATCAGAAATATGCGCGACCTTAGGCAGATTTTCTTTTTTCACGTTTTCATTACAACATCCTGTTTTTGGTCTCTGTTAAAGTGAACCTTTCAGGAACTGCATGAATAGTCTCCTGACCTGGCACAATATAGGTAATCGGTATCCTTGTTCAGGGTTGCGCCACCTTTTTATTATTAAAAAGCCGTCTTTAACCTCCTTGGCGGTATTCCCGAGTGTAGCTCGGGGTAAAATTTGAGTACCAAGAGCGGTAACCCCGAGCTACACTCGGGCTTAGCATGCGGCGTTGCTCAGGGAGTCCCTGCAGCACTTACCTTGTTCTTCGCTCCCGCGATGTGTCCCCTGCAGCATCCCCGGCCATCTCCTCCGGTTGATGCCGGCATCCGGCTTCCGTGTTCCGGTCCCTGGGACGGATGGGCGCCGGAACTGGCGGCAAATTTGAAATTTTTAAAAATGATTATTACATTATTGTTATTATTATACAGTATTTATAAAGCGCCAATAGTTCGCTCAGCGCTGTACATTACAAAGGGGGACAGAACATGCGACAGAACAATACCAATACAATGCAAAACATGAGGGGATCGAGGGCCCTGCTCTTTCGAGCTTACAATCTAAGAGGGAGGGGATGGTGGCACAGGAGGAGATAGCTGTGGGGGATGGGGGGGGGTGGTAGGAAGAGTGGAGGAGGTCGGCAAGTTAGCAGGGGGTCGGGTAGGCTTCCCTGAAGAGATGGGTTTTCGGGGTGCGCCTAAAGGAGAGGAGAGTAGGTGATAATCTGATGGGTTGGGGCAGGGAGTTCCAGAGGATGGTTGACACCCTGGAGAAGTCCTGGAGGTGCGCGTGGGAGGAGGAGACCAGGGAACTAGAGAGGAGGTCTTGTGAGGAGCGGAGTGTGCGTGTTGGGTGGTAGTTGGATATTAGGTCGGTAATGTAGTTCGGGGCAGTATGGTGGATGGCTTTGTACGTCAGTGTTAGGATTTTGAATTTGATCCATTGCGCAATCGGAAGCCAGTGGAGGGATTGGCAGAGGGGGGTGGCGGAGATGGAGCGGTTGGAAAGGTGAATGAGTCTGGCAGCCGTAAAACATTGCTGTTTCAATGCATTTCACATTTTGTCCCTACTGCTTTGTCCGGCGCCCTGCCTGCATTTTTACTGTTCTTTCTGCCTGGAAACTGAGAAACGTCCATGGCGGCCAAAAAGCGTCCCTTTATGTCAAAAGCGGTTTTTAGACCGGCTAGAGAACAGCGATAGTAAATCAGAACCACTTGCAGAATTGAGTGATAATGATTCGTGTGGAAAATTCCTCATCAGACACTGAAAATGATTTTGCAACTTTGCTCAGCGATGTGTGAACTTGGCGCTATATTTCAAATTTCAGTGTTTTTGGTTTTGATTATATTATTGAATTAAATTTACTATTATATATAATTTTTTTATGATTATTTAAATTATAATTTATGATTTTGGGTTTCAAGTTTTATCATACCCGGGATGTTTACTAGACTCTTGTTCGGACAGATTTCAGTGAGTTATTCCTAAAAATTACAGCCTACAATAAAAAAACGACATATTTCCATGCAAAAAAATGTACCGCTTTCAGCACAAAAAAAATCGGAAATAATCATACCGCCGAGGAGGTTAAAGAGGAGTACCGTCCCCCTGCCAAAAAAAAACAAAACTAAAAGTCAGCAGCTACAAATACTGTAGATGCTTACTTTTATTAGTAGGGCACTTGCCTGTCAAGGGATCCAGTGGTGTCCTCACCCTGAGCTGATTCTTCAGTTGGCTGTTGGGTGCTGGTGCCGCCATCTTGACTAAGTGAAAACAGCAGTGAAGCCTTGTGGCTTCACAGCCGGTTTTCTACTGCGCTTGAAGTGTGCTGCACTTTGTAAATGGGCTGTAGTCCTCTGGGACCTTTTTGAAGTGTCCCAGAGGACTGCGGGGATGGAGGCAAACCTCCAGCTCCCCCCAAAAAGGTGCATTACCTTTTAAAAATTCAAAGTAAAATACTCACAAGAGAAAATCAAATGGAAAGCATGTCGCAAGGGATGAAATGTGGTCCAAAACCCCTGAAGGTGGTCTGGTAGGGGACTGTAGACCTCTAGATAGCTGGTGTCTGACGCGTTTCGAGGTTGTTCCTCTTTCCTCACTGTCCAGCCTCACTGCTGGCAGCCTATAAAACTCTGAGCGATGCAAAGGCGTCACATCTGGACAGTGTACCGAGAAATACTAACGTTTAGGGGCAGTATGTGCTCGGGAACAAATGCCCAGAGCTTAACCTCTTGAGCCGGCCGAACGCAAATGTATGGGTCTAGACGCCGAGCGGCCGCACATTTGCGTTCTGTTACTAGAAAAATTGTGCTGAGAGCGCTCCCAGCATGCATGTCCGGAACTCACAGGTCCTGATCTCCTCTTTCGATTGGGACCTTTCCCGATCATGTGATTATTATTATTATTATACAGTATTTATAAAGCGCCAATAGTTCACTCAGCGCTGTACATTACAAAGGGGGACAGAACATGTGACAGAACAATACCAATACAAAGCAAAACATGAGGGGATCGAGGGGCCCTGCTCTTTCGAGCTTACAATCTAGGAGGGAGGGGATGGTGGTACAGGAGGAAATAGCTGTGGGGGATGGAGTGGTAGGAAGAGTGGAGGAGGTCGGCAAGTTAGCAGGGGGTGAGGTAGGCTTCCCTGAAGAGATGGGTTTTCAGGGTACGCCTAAAGGAGAGGAGAGTAGGTGATAATCTGATGGTTGGGGAAGGGAGTTCCAGAGGATGGGTGACACCCTGGAGAAGTCCTGGAGGCGGGCATGGGAGGAGGAGACCAGGGAACTAGAGAGAAGGAGGTCTTGTGAGGAGCGAGTGTGCGTGTTGGGCGGTACTTGGATATTAGGTCAGTGATGTAGTTCGGGGCAGTATGGTGGACAGCTTTGTACGTCAGTGTTAGGATTTTAAATTTGATCCGTTGCGCAATCGGAAGCCAGTGGAGGGATTGGCAGAGGGGGGTGGCGGAAATGGAGCGTTTGGAAAGGTGAATGAGTCTGCAGCCGTATTCAGGATCGACTGAAGCGGGGATAGCCAGCGGCGAGGCAGGCCAGTGAGGAGGGAGTTGCAGTAGTCGAGTCGTGATATGATGAGGGAGTGGATGAGCTGTTTAGTGGTTTCTGGGGTTAGGAACGTGCGGATTTTGGTGATGTTGCGGAGGTGGAGTCTGCACGAGTTTGTTAAAGATTGGACTTGGGGCTGGAAGGAGAGGTTGGAGTCCAGAATGACACCAAGTACTCTGGCCTGCAGAGCGGGTTTGATATTGGCGTTGTTGGATGTGATGTAGAAGTCAATGGGGGGTGGGGTTTGGGCTGGGGGGGAAGACAAGGAGCTCGGTTTTGGAGAGATTCAGTTTAAGGAAGTGGAGCGACATCCAATCTGATATGTCGCTCAGTAGGTGTGTGATTTGGGCAGAGACCGAGGGGGTGAGTGGGGGATTGAGAGATAGATTTGTGTGTCGTCGGCATAGAGGTGGTAGTTGAAGCCGTGAGAGTGTATGAGTTGGCCAAGGGAGGAGGTGTAGATGGAGAAGAGAAGGGGCCCAAAGACAGAGCCTTGAGGGACCCCAGCAGAGAGGGGGAGTGAGGGGGAGGTGGTAGCATTATAGGTAACGCTGAAAGAGCGTTGTGACAGGTAGGATGAGAGCCAGGAGAGAGCAGAATCTCTGAGGCCGAGGGAGTGTAGTTTTTTGAGGAGGAGGGGGTGGTCGACTGTGTCGAAGGCCGCAGAGTGGTCAAGGAGTAGGAGCACTGAATAGTGGCCATTAGCTTTGGCGGTTAGAAGGTCATTGGAGAGTTTGAGTAAGGCGGTTTCGGTGGAGTGTAGGGGACGGAAGCCAGACTGTAGGGGATCGAGGAGGTTGTTGTCGTTGAGGTGAGAGCATAGGCGGTGTAGATGAGGCGCTCGAGGAGTTTAGATGTAAGTGGGAGCAGGGAGATGGGTCTGAGGTTGTTCGGGTCATTGTGGTCCAGGGAGGGCTTTTTTAAGTATGGGGGTGATGTGTGCATGCTTCAGTGGGGAGGGGAAAGTGCCGGAGGAGAGGGAGAGATTAAAGATGTGGGGGAGGGAGGTCGTAGGAATTGTGAGGGGATAGGGTCGAGGGGGCAGGTGGTGAGGCGGGCATCAGAGAGGATCTTGGAGACTTCCTCGATGGTAGTAAGGTCAAAGGTTGTGGAGTGTTGGGGGAGCTTCAGTATGAGGAATGTAGGGTGGGGTGGGAGTGGAGGTCAGAGCAGTGGTGGGGCCGTGGGAGAGGGGTGCTGATGGGGGTAGCTGAGTGGGGGGAAGGGGGTTGGAGGGAGTTTGAGCAGTGATGAAGTCCCTGCGGGTAATGTCGAGGGGGAGGGGGATGAGGGGGTAGCTGTGTGAGAGGGGACGGGTTGAGAGGGTGTGAGAGTTGCGCAATGTCCTTGCGAATTGTGTCAATCTTGTTTTTGAAGTGATTGGCAATCTCAAGGGCGGTGAGTGAGGTGCTGGGTGGAGGTGGGGGTGGAGAGAGTAGAGAGTAGAGAGTTGAAGGTGGAGAAGAGTCGGCGAGGATTGGAGGAGAGAGGGCCTTGATGAGGGTCAGGAAGTAGGCTTGTTTGGCTGCGTGGAGGGAGGAGGTGTAGGTGCGGAAGGCAGATTTTGTAGCGGGGTGAAGGCTTGTTGGGATTTTGTTTTGCGCCATAGTCGCTCCAGGGCACTACTGCGTCGTTTTGAGGGTTTTGGTGTGATCAGTCTGCCAGGGCTGGAGCGGTCGGGGTCTGATGTTGCGTGTGGTTAAAGGCGCTATTAGTGAGTCAAGGGCTGCTGACAGCGCGTTGTTGTAGGCAGTCATAGCCAAGTCGGGGCAGGACAGGGGGAGGATGCAGTCGTGGAGTTGATCAGCTGCAGAGTGGAGGGGGGCAGGGTTAAGGTTGCGGAGGTTACGGCTGGTAGTAGTGTGACATTTGGAGGGGTAGGCATTGGAGGACGAGGAGATAGAGAAGGTGATCAGGTTGTGGTCAGAGAGAGGGAAGGGGGTGTTAGTGAGGTTGTGGGGAGCGCAGCGGTTGGAGAAGACAAGTCCAAGGATATTACCGTCGGAGTGGGTGGTGGATTGTATGCACTGTGCAAGTGCAAAGGAGGAGGTTAAGTGGAGGAGACGGGCTGTGTCTGGTTGTCGAGGTTGACAGGGATGTTGAAATCCCCAAGAATGATGGTGGGTAGCTCAGAGGAGAGGAAGAAGGGTAGCCAGGAGGAGAAGTCATCCAGGAATGTGATGACGTGTCACGGTGGTCACATGACCCTAAACCCTGCCCCGCCTCCCGGATTCTGAATCCCCTAAAGGGCCAGGAGGCGCCGGCACCAAGGGGTTAAGCAATCTGCGTTCCAGGCATTGGCCCCTTGACGCATACGGCCCCAACATTAGCACCACTCGGCGCACTGTCCAGCGGCAGCAACTTTTACAGGCAGCTGGTAGTGGGGCTGGACGGTGCCTTCCTGCTGCACCAAAACTCCAGGAACATATGCATCAAAGGCTAAATACCCAGTGTGCAATAAATGCCTAAAGCGCTTTTTCAGCTACATTCACACTGGCGACTAAGGCAAATTGTAGCGGCAGTTAGCAGGTAGGTGCGATCGCTAGCCCTGTTCACTGATGACGACAGGCTGCTGGTGTCTGCAACTCTCTGCACAGCCAGTGATCACCGCAGCCTATTTCTGGATGTGCAGACAGCAGCGAATATCTGTGGCTGCCGGTGAATCAGGCCAGCAGCCGCATCTACCTGCTGATAGCCGCAACAGAAATCTCTTCATTCCTCCCGCGACTATTCCCACTGGCTCTAATCGGTGATGCGAATGTAGCCTTTTGTACCCGAGACCTGATGTTAAAGCCGGTTCATTGCTGTATATGCGACCTGCCCTTAGAATAACCCCATTTTGCAGAAAACGCAAACCCATTGCACAAAGAAAATGCTGTGCTGCGAGCGAGTCTGCTTGTTCCCCTTTTTTTTCTTTCATCCCTGGAATACGTCACAAGGAATTTTTATGCGGAATTCCTCATAGTCACTTGGGTGTAAATGAAAAGCGCTCAATGGCAGTGCAGAATAATGACACAAAGCGGTTTATCTCTTGCTGTGAATGACTGACTGCTAGAAAGGATCCTCCCTGCAGATCTGCGCAAGCCGCTAATGAGGAGAGCGCTTTGTTTTCTGAGAATTGTGCATTCTTGTGGGGAATAGTTTGGATGGAGAAACAACAAACATCTGCTGGGGTTTTGGGGGGGTAATCAGCTGTTTGCATATA